GCCATCCCATCATCAAAACCTGCTATTGGATCAACTTCATATTATGACCTTGTAAATCAATATTGCTTCTATTCAGGAGGTTCACCTTATGCTACCAACTCTCCATATGCCACCTCTCCTCCGGTCATGACATCAATATAATTTCCCGGGAAGAAGGAGTTGAATTTTTCGGTATTATATGAGATTGCCGGAGGAATGTAATATGAGGCTTGGAATGCGCGTGTGGGATTTGCCGGAGGTAAAGAGGTTCGCGGAGTATTTTGAGCGGCAGATAATGAAACACCAATATCATAACGACCCAACAATTTCTTTCTTGGTTCTGAAACATTTAGAACTGAAAGTCTCGTGGCAGGTGGCGAAAGAGATTCATCCATATTCTTCGTTTGTCGTGGAGTTGATGACATGGACCATTTTGACGAAATGCCTTGCGATTTGACAGGTGAAGATTTCTTTGATTTTGGTTGTGAGGTCGGTGCAATCATTCTCTTAAAGTTGACTTGATAATTTGAACCATTATTATTATCCCAGAAATCACAACTATCAACATTATAATGAACGGCAAAGTACATCGTCTTGCCATCGATGGGATTCCTTGAATTGTCAATCAACTCGATAGAAAACACGAAAAGGTCAAAACTATTCTTATTGTCTTTGGCTGGTATACCTTCCGCGTAGCTTGCTGAAACCTCAGATACAGAGGACCAAAAGTCGAAAGTGTACCTTATATGAACAGATTTTTGGAAAGCGAGATTTTGTACCATTACGCGACCTTGAAGGTTTCTTTTATCTCGTGACAAAAAGATTGTTTCCACAAATACGGGTCTTGAACTATGCATTGTGGTTATCATTGGCATATTCGGTAAAGAGATCATAAGTTCAGGTTCTTCCACGGTCGCGACATCATCCTCATCATCTGAGATGGAAAAATCGAAATCATCATCGTCAGAATCTTCTTCCTCGGAGGATGCGTCCGCACTAACGGCTTGAGGTTTTTGTGCTTCATTGAACAACTTGATCTGTTCCAAGTCTGCATTAAAGTGCACATATTTTGGAAAGGTGGGAGTTGTGGGTTCGGACTTTGAATTTCCCTTTTTGAGCGAGGGTTTAACGACTTCGCCACTTTTCTTTCTTAAGATACAAGGCATTTCATGTGAAAATTGCAAAGGTAGGTCAACTTTTAACAAGGGTTTTCTTGAAAACACCTCTGGAGCTGATTTACGCCTTGGAGAAGTTGCTAGTTGAGGTGAGGTTGAAAGAATTTCTTTAACTTGTTGCAAAGCGGTATCGCGAGAGTTGGTTTGAGGTTTTGATTTATGTTCTTGATTTGTAGCGTTTGACGGTAATGAATTGGCGGTAGTAGTTGCGTCCATATTTTGTTTGCTGCTTAAAAGTGTTAATTTTCCAAAGGACCACGGTTTGAAAGTTTTGTTTGATTGCCCAAACGCGGGGTTTTCGGTGATAGTTGATGGGGGTGCTGCATAAGGCATTTTGAAATCGTTGATGATTTTATTTCTTAAATATGAAGTGTCGTGTCGTGTCGTGTTGTGTCGTGTCGAAAAAGTTATCTGGAAAAAAAAAGGAAAAACAAGGGTGAAATACGAGTTAAAAAAAAATCCGTGAAAATTGACCGAATAAAGCCAATTTCTTATTTATACAAGCCAGCCCTATTGTCCGACATAAAAAAAAAAGTTGAAGCAAAAGCTTGGGAAAAAAGCGCGTTTTACCAACCTCTTAACTTTAAAATAACAAAGTCTCAAATAATAAATTTGGAGAAAGATGAGAGGGTAAAAAAAAACAAAAGTTTTAAAACTCTTTCTGATAAAATCGTTAAAAAATTAATTGATTCGAAAAAATAAATAAATTGAGAATAGCAAATTTCGTTTTCTCGATGGTAAAAAATTTGTGAAAAAAAAATCTCTATGAAAGATAGAAATTTTTAAAATCTTGGTAAAATTTTTGACAAAAAATTTTCTTTGAGAAATATATTTTTTTTATTAAATATAATCTTATTTAAAATTCGTTGTAAAGGAGGATTAAGGTTACCTCAATTATTATTATATATTATTAAAGAAAATAAAGAAAAAAAAGAAAATATTTTTTTTTTTAAGGTAAAAGACCTGATAAAAAAAGGCAGAAGCAGCTCGGTTTTTATAACCTTTTTTTTTTTTTTTTTTCCTAAAAAAATTATTTTTTGATATGTTTGATAAGGGACTTTTAAATTAATAATCTGTATAAAAAAAAATTTTAATTATATATAAACCAGTTTTTATACATGGACTTTATCTTATTAATCTTTTATATAATGAGAACAATTGTAAAAAAAAAAAAAAAAAAAGATTTGCCTTTTACCATGAGAAATAAGTCGTATCATAAAACCTTTCTCCAAAAAGGAGAAAAGCATTTAATTGAACAGTTTGAATGACCTTTTTAATAATTATAATACAAATACAGTTCAAATATATAAATAATAATATATATATATATATATAAAAAATAATAATTTATATTCAACAGAATATAAATAAGGACAATCGTCTAATCTTTTTTTTTTTTGCGCGTCTCCAAAATATAATTACCGCAGCTCTCCTAGAATATCACTTTGGCAATCTCAAAAATTCTGATGTGTCTTTATTTTTGAGCGAATGTTAAAGGGTTTAAAATAAAAACGAACTAGAATAACTCAATGGTAAAAAAACTAATTTACATAACGGATATAATCTTACCAAATGAGAAATGAGCGTTACAATATATTGTATTTTGGAAGGGAAAAAGATAAAGCTTCCTTTTGATGCTTGATGACAATCTGGGGTAAAACCCAGAAATTTTCAAAGTGATGTTCAAATGAATAAGAAAGGGATCGAATGTTCATTCAAGCGTTTCACTATTCAGGTGGGCAATTGGCTGGGTATTTTAGTAATATTTTGTTCATAATGATGAAAAGATAAATCAATTCTAGAATTCGGCACCAAACCAAATTTAGAGGTAGATCTCCAAATATATTACGACCCCTGTTATTACTTTAAGTAATTATTATCAATCTTACAAATATTTCATTCAATTGCTTATCCGTCCAATCAAGTAAAACCTTGTGGAGAAAATTTTCCAGCAATGGATTAAATCAAAAAAAAAAAATAAATAAATAATTTTTTTTTTTTTTCTTTTTACATAAGAAAAATAATAATAAAAATAAAAAGCACAATGTTTCACATTTACACCTTATTGTACATGTTTATAAATGCTAAAATTACATGTGTAAATTGCACTTTTCAAAATCCGGTATTTACAATCCAAAAATCTATTTAATCGTTCATTCAATTGATAGTAAAGATAACATACAAAAAATCACACTTTCGAGATTTATCGTAAAGATGTGGTTGGTTTATGAAAATTTTCGCATTATACTTAAAAAGTAAAACAACAATTTTGATTTTGCTGCGCAAACATGTTTGTCTGGCTTTTCGGTTGGGTATTCAACCGGACTCTCAACGTCCATCCAATCTACGTAACTGAACCAATCTAACAATTCCAACAGTGCGCGAGAAAAGTTGTCGAGATGAGAAAGGTGTAGCGATATAAGGAGGTTCTTTATTGTTCATGGTTGCTTAATCTGAACACAACTGATTAACAAGATTCAGAAATGGAGAAAATTTTCAGGTGAGAATTTTTTAAGTATTTTTAAAACGTGACACGCCAGAAATTTGTAACATTTGTAACAATACAATTCCAAAGTTTTTTTTCCTCCATTAAAATCTTACTAGTCTAGTGGTCGTTTATATAAACCTTTGAAGACTTATCCAAGTTGCGCCAGGCCTCATTTTTTTAACTATTTTTAATGTTAAAGTGAACGGAATCCTCCCTGCAAAAAGCAATCACACTTTAGTTTTAGAATTGTTTGTTTTCTCATGCGGGTAAAACATAAACATATTCGGTAACTTAAAAACCCTGTACTTTTAACACGAGTCTATTTGTGGTGGTACATTCATATCTCGGCATAAAGAGAAATTTTTCATTGACCCCGTTAATTTCCGAAACGGGATTTGTCATGACAAATCGGGAAATTTTTTGAAAAATAAAAATTTGGACCGCAGTAATACTTAAAAATGATCTACACATGGGAATGCTTAGTTGAATTCAATTGATAGGATGAATAGATTCACGGATAAGGAATTATCGAACTAAATATCTATTATATGAAAATATTTTTTTTTTTTTTTTTTTTAAAGTTTCATATGAAAAAATATGTCGATACAACATTAATTTGCATGTTTGTTTATAATCAAACACCATTCGATTCAATATACATTGTTTGTAGTTTCAGATTTCGGATAAGCTTCCATTAATAATCTTGGGAGACAATTATTTAAAGTAAAATATAAGGATTAACCACTAATCTTCAAGTAATCTAAAGTAATGTACAAACAATAAACATCCCATAATAACTGTTTAAATTTAGTCAAATGAATAGAGGATGGAATTAGCACTGAAAGAGTCTTTTTTTTCAGAACTAATTTGTTTAGAATGTTATTTAATATCCTTCCCTTTTTGTTTGTTATATTCTCTTCCTTTAAAAGAAAAAAATATTCTCACGAATAAAAAGGAAATGATTATTTGTGGGGTATGTATAACCACGTGATCATTATAATTTCTTTGCGAAAAAAATTTATTTTGTTTTCCCGTTCGACTATGATGTGTGATATACCATTGTGACAATGTATGTATGTATGTATGTATATTACGTAGTTTTCACCTATAAAAAAACAAATACATTTTTCATTTTTTCATAAAAATCGTCACTAGTATGTCATAATCCATAAATGCTTTTGAATGTCTTAAAGATATGTAGTGTACCATAAGATTCGGGAGTAAATTAATTTTTATACCAGAAATTGAACGCCCCAATTTTTTTGATAGAGGATCGACGAAATGGGATGTTATTTTGTAAAAATCTCATCATTTTTTTATTAAGACAAAAAAAATCAGCTGAGCCGAATTAACGTTCTGATGTGAAAAATTAAATATCACACAAGCATAAAAGCACATGATCGCATTATTACACATTTTATAAGTTTTATTCCCTAATCGGCAAAATGGCTTCTTTGATGTCGATAACAAAGTTATGTACATTGATGTAAGAAAGTGGTAACTTACCTCAACCAATAATTGCTTTACAATCTTAAACCTATAACAGGTACTAATATTATATGCACCAGATCATTTTCTTTCATTATCGCAAAATCATCCTTTTGGAATTATCAATGAAATAGTAAGATGATCTATAAGTGCAATTTACGGTCATCTGTGTCGTTCTCAAGGTCAATATTATTCAACACAATGAGGACTTTGGTATGTCAGATTTATAAAACATTCGCTATATTTACATTTAATGATTCAATATATATTTTAATGAGTTAATTGTGTTTTCTATCATTTCAGGATTGAGGATGATGGCAAGGGTTTTGATTTGAAGACATATGGTAGGAAAATCAGGTTCCGGGAATTTTTATTTTTATTGCATTTAGTTATTGATGTTATTAGATTAAAATGCATTAAGCTCTTAATTATAGACAAAAAATTTCTCGGAACCTGATTTTCCTAGAAATCCTCTCATATAACTTTTGGATTTTTCCGGAGTGTATGAATGAACAGGTTATAAGATTGTATTGATTTCTTGAATTTTTGTGACTGGTAATTGCACAATGTTATTCTTGATTAGTAATTGATGGATTTTAAAAAAATCATATATGATGTTGAGATCTCATCAAATAAAAGCAAAATACATTTTTTTTTTTTAGGAACGTTCTTTCTCCTAAGGTAAGTCTTGCGGAGGTTTCTTTCGAACGGTGTTCTCGAGATGATTTTCGTTATTTTCGAAATTTAAATATTTATGAATATTTTTAATTTAAATCACCTGCAATATATTATAATGACTTATTTTTTATTTTTCAATTTTTTCATTATATATCTTTACCTATTATAATAATTTTTTATAGATGATATTTATCATTTATTAATTCTATATTATTATTATTTGCTTATTTCTATATATGGATCTTTGCAATTGAAAGGGGGAAACTGCCGGAAATGTTAATGCTAATCTGAACATATTTTTGCCTAAAAATCATATTTGGCAGTTTCTCCTTTTTTCTTTGCAAAGGTTCCAATATTATTAAAAACTTTTTTATATTTTTAAGACTAATATAATCTTTATTTATTGATATTTTTTATTTCTGTAGTTTCTTATTTATTCTATTAAAAATTTAATTGTTTTATAAATGTTTAATTTCCATTTATTTTAAACAAATATAATTAATCTTAATAATAAGTATAATACTTCCTTTTCTATTTATTAAATATAAATAATTCTTTTCAATTAAAAATAAATTATAAGATGTAAAAAAGATACCTAATCCTTATTATAATAATAAATCTTAAAAAATATATTTTTTTTAAATTATCAAAATAAATTTAAACTATAATTTTTATAAAA